GAGGAGAGGAACAAACCGAGACCTCACTCCGGACCAAAGGGTCAGACACCCGGGCCGTCACAATAAGCAACCAGATACCCGGGGGGAGAGGCCAGCAGGGGGGGCCTACTAGACCACGGCACGTCACCAGGGGCAACCAATAGGGAGGGCAAGAGAGGGGGAGAAGCCGCCACAGGAGGACAAGAGACCAAAACAACCAACAGAGAGAGGAACAGCAAAAGAAGCACAACAAAACGGGGGAAAGGAACAACGCACAGGCGAACACCCAAACATGCAGGCCACGAGACAGGAACAGCAAGAGCAAAGGCGAAAGAGGCAACACAGAAACGCAAGGGCACTCAAGCCAAGAAAGCCAGAAAACGTAGAGACAATCATTGACTCTAATGGACCACGGGAGGCACAGAAAGAGCACACCAGCAAAACGGGGGACCCAGGGGTCAGCAGCACACTTGCGTGAAAACAGACCTGGGGTACCCAGGGGGGTGAGACAGAAAAGCGAGAAAGAGGAGCAAAACAAGGAGAGGGGGGGTCTACGTCATACGGAGCAATGTATTGTTTGGGAAGAATTGTTTGTCAGCTTTGAGTGTGGCAGTCCAGCTATTCTCTAGGGCATAAGAGACGGGAGAGCCGCGGCCAATTGCCTGAGTTCAACGCACTTCGCAGTGAATTCGGCTTGATCTGCATTGGTTAGTCGTCGTCGCACTCGTCTGCTAGGGAAGTCACCTCTACGCACGTGTTCTTGCAGGGTCGCTTCAGGAACATAGCGCGCAGGGCCCTGGAATAGTACTCTGCTGGCCAGCATTTCGTGGTCGAGCAGCCAATGCGAGAACATATGACGATGGTTCATTTGCTTGTGCAAGAGATCAGCGAATTGGTGCAAACTCTTCTGAGTATGCCAGAGCCTAAGAAGGCTGAAATTGGTGGGCCAATCCAGAGGGCACAGCGTTGCTGTTTGCTTCCACTGTTCGGGGGTAAGGCCACCAGGGGAAGGAGTAATGACTTCAAGGGTCGTTCTGACGGGGCCTGTTGCTTGGAGACCATGCATGACATAGGGCTCCACAATCCCCATTTTGTATCCTCGGATGAGCTCCGTAAAACACTGAGAGGCTTGAAAGTCTTCATCAATGTCAAGGTTAAGCACAGGAACCTTCTTGTCTGCAAATCGAACTGCCTGAAGCGTTTTGTCACTTTTGTCTTTCTGCAGACTAGCACCTGCCCGGTTTGGGCAGGGTATGGTCACTTCTTGTGGAGGTTGTGGTGCACCGGCTTCAGGACCTAGAAATCGCAGTGATTTGCTCATTTTGTCGTCAGACAGTGCGACCGATAGGGCATTTCACCACGCCACAGTCCGAAGGGTCAGGAAAAAAGTGTTGCTTTGTTGATTTGACAGGTTTTTATCACAAAAGTAATTGGAACATTACAGAGAAGATTAGCTATGAAAACTTACTGGCACGATACAGTGAAGATTAGCAGTCATTGGAGTGATACAGAGAAGATTAGCATAGGTACAATGATACTTTCACCACGCGACTTAGCACCCTGACAGGATGTGATGAACGAGCACTACCTCGAATGAGTTTGTTGGGAAGGGGACAACCCATGAACCCCAAGAATGAAGAACGCCAAAAGCGAACGGGACAACACAAGAACCCGAAAAGATAAACAAACGGGAACGGGCCAACCCAAGAACCCGAAGAAAAGATTTAAAAACAGTCAGCGACCAGAGACGCAAGAACTCTGAGAAACAGAAAGCGAACGGGAAGCAAGAACCCGAGATGAAGACGGATGAGGACGCTGATGATGAGATGGATGAACGACGACGACGAGGACTGACAACGACGACAACCCCGCACACATACACACAGAACCCTCAACGACAGCAAAAATACTTAAAATACTTAAAGACTAATTACCTTATATAATAAAAAGAAAATGCCCTGATATTTGTATATTGATGGAATGAAGCAAGAGATGGACGAAGACATCTTTGACCAGATGGTTGAAGCACTCCACCAATCAGACACAAACAACCCCCCAATCCCAGAAACAATCAACAGGCACAGACCCGATGGAACATACGACAAACGCCCGTTAGACCCAAACTATTTCAAAAAATATTACAGAAACAAACTCAAAACCCCATACCAATGTCCAGACTGCGGACGCACAATCAGCAGTAAATCCAATTTATCCAAGCACAAACAAACAGCAAAATGTAAGAACAACGGCAACAGTTTCTGAAAAATCAAAAAACCTTCTTGATAAATTTTATCAAGAATGTTTCATTGTTGAAGTCCAACACCAATCCCAAACTCCCCAACCCCAACCCGACAAAAAATACTTAAAGAAATATTATGTATTCATTATATAGGGTATAGTATTATGGTTGAAAGGTCAGAGCAATTTGTTATAGATTGTCTATTAACATCCCAACAGGGAGAAATTGTTAAACAGAATGGAAGAGAACTTAAAAAAATTAAAATAGGTGAAAGAACATACAACTTTGATAGGGGAAAAGCCCGGACCGACAGACTTAAAAAGAAACTCAACAAAGTCAAGCAAACCATTGAATACAAGAAGCACGAACTGAAAGAAAAGAGAGGTCTTAAATGGGTTAATTTAGACAAGAATAAAACACTCACAGGAATACAAAAACGCTACAAAGCAACAAACACAGACGAACAATCTGCCTTCAAGAACTACACAACTTCTTATGCCATCAGCAACATCAGGGTCAGAGGCATCAAGGCATTACAATACCTTAAACACCAAGACTTCAAAATGAAAGAGTATCTACGACAGAACAAGGGTATGAAAGTAATGTTAGAAACCTTCAACACCTTCAAAAGCAAGAAGACCAACGAAGAGGTAAGACACATGGTAAAAAGCAGGAGATACGAAATAACCAACTAAGAAGAAATAGCAAATGTTTTAAACCAAATGGCATCAGACATTGAGTTTCAAATGCATAAGATGGAATTATCAGAGGGCGGACTTGTAATAACCCAGATTGATAAATTGAAATTCAATATGGCTAAATACAATCCAACTCGTGGGGGTAAATTCATTCCACTACCAAAATGGGTGTCAGACAAGAAGGCTTGTATCAACATTCAAAACGAAGACAACCAATGTTTCTAGTATTCGGTTCAGTGCGGGATATGTCAAGTCTATCTGAAAGACCATCCCAACAGATTATATCACTATAAAAAAAACTCACTGACGAGTTGAAGTGGGATAATGTCAGCTTTCCTACATCCAATGTTGATATAGACACCTTTGAAGAGAACAACGATGGAAAAATAGCGGTCAATGTTTATTATCTAAATCCAGAAGAAGGGAAGCAATCAATCCTATTGTATAGAAAGACTAAAGCACCAAAAGCAACTCATCAAGTCAGCCTTCTAAAACTTGAAGACGGTGATGACTACCACTATGTTTATAACAAAGATTACAACAGATTGATAGGAAGTCAAACAAGCAAAGACAAAACAAAAAAATATCATTGCTTTCACTGCTCCCACGGTTTTCAATCACAAGAACTTTTAGACCGTCACACCGAAAAGGGATGTATGGCAGTTGAAGGGCAAAAAGTAGAAATGCCAAATGAAGACGAAATAATGGTTTTCAAGAACCACTACAAAAAGATAAAAGCACCCTTTGTAATCTATGCCGACTTTGAATGCTTAACAACCAAAACAGGAACAGTAAGCACGAAAGAACTTAAAACTGACAAGTACAACTCTCAGTCTCTGACTAAGAGTTCTAGAACTCAGATTTTGAAGACTTCAAAAACTGAGTTGTACCAACATCACAGACCCTGCGGTTTTATGATTAATGTTGTTAATTCTATTGATAATTCAAATGAGCCTTTCTTATATAGAGGTGAGGATTGTATGGATGTATTCGTAAAGAAAATGATTGAAGTAAAGGACAAGATTATGAACAGGATGAAAGAAAACAAAGACATCATTATGAGGGCTGATGACTGGAGATATTTTAAAACAGCGACTAAATGCTTTATATGCGGTAATGATTTTAAAGAAGGTGATAAAAAAAAGTTCGCGACACATCGCCAGAGGCTCGTGAGGCTTCCCTTCCTTCAGGAAGAAGGAAGGTTCGCGATCACTGCCACTTCACTGGTAAATACAGGGGATGTGCCCACGACGATTGTAATTTACAATTTTCAATGAGGTATTACAAAATTCCAGTCTTCCTTCATAACCTTAAAAACTATGATAGTCATTTAATCATTGAAAGAGCAAATGAACTCTCACAGAACGGCAGGATTGATGTAATAGCCTTGAACAGCGAAAAGTTTATCACCTTTTCTGTCAAAAATCTTTGTTTCAAAGACAGCTTTTCGTTCTTATCATCTTCTTTGGATAAGTTAGTCAAGTTGAGTAAATATGAAGAAGGAAACAAAAAGGAGAACTGGCAATCTAATTTCAAGTTCAGTCAGAGAAACCCTTATGTAAGTAATGACGAAGATTTAGATTTACTGACTGATAAAGGTGTTTATCCTTATGATTACTTTACATCCTTTGATAAATTTAGGGAAAAGCAACTACCACCGAAAGAACAATTCTACAGCAACCTCACCGAAAGTCATATTGAAGATGATGAGTATGAAAGAGCACTTAAGATATGGGAACATTTCGGCATAAGAAATCTTGGTCAATACCACGACTTGTATTTGAGAACCGATGTTTTGTTATTGACTGATGTCTTTGAAAATTTCAGAGACCTATGTTTGGAATACTACGGTTTAGACCCAGCGCACTACTTTACATTACCTAACTTTGCTTGGGACGCTATGTTGTTGAAAACTGGGATTGAAATAGACCCCTTAACTGATAAAGAAATGTATGAGATGATTGAGAAGGGTTTAAGGGGTGGGATGTGTGACGATTCAAAGTGCTACCGTTTCTTCTCTGGGCCATCATTCTCGGAGTATGTAGGATGCTGATTTCAACACTCCTCCTCTGCTAAGACGTGTATTACGTCGAAGCAGGCATGCTATTGGTAGTGGAGCCTGGCACGTGTATGCTCTTTTGCAAGCATGATGCTTCAGGCAACACCACCACACTCATCGCCATCATGTGCTTGTCGATCGTTGCGCCACTGCTTGATTTCGTCAGGATATCTGAAGGGTTGTGGGCAGTTCCAATCTTGCGAATAACTGCCCTTTCTGCTTGCACCACTTGTTGCAGCCAGAGATATCTCGTCATCACGTGACGTTGTTTTCCCAAGCCAACTCTCGAAGCGAATGCTTTTGCCGAACTGCTATCGCTTTCTATCACTAAGCCAAAGTTCAAACCCAAATCTGACATGAATGCTTGTAGGCCTAAACCATGAGCTGTCCCATGAACCAAAGCGTAGTATTCAGATTCAGAAACGTTCAAACCAATAACTGTCTGCAAGTTGCTGGTCGCCTTTATCACATGCCCTCCAAGAAACTGAACCATACCATTGTTGATTTCCTGCCCACCTTGCATCCAGCATAGTCAGAATCTACACAAACCCTCACATGGTCAGGCATCCGTTGCTGTCGGTAGACCAAAGCCACATTCGGTCTGAAGACCAGATACCTCGCCATTCGCTTGAGCATCTCCCAGTGTGCCAGCCTAGGGCGAGACATGCCCTGAGCAAGACGTTTCACTGTTTCTGCAAGGTCACAACGTTCTTGGGCTAAGAAACTCGCTCGCATCACTGCTGAACGATACTGTGAAGCTTGTTGTGGTGGTAGTTCTGGAGAGAACTGCAACTGATGAGCCTGTTCTTCCGTAGGCTTGACCGAAGGGGTAGTCACGCCATTTGAACTGTTCGGATTCACACCAGCTGTTTGTAAAATCAGCTCCACATGCCTCTTGTCGGGCTCGATCTGAACCCAACGCCGTCCTCCTTCGTCATGACGTAGCTGAACAACTCGGTTGAGCACCGTTGCAGAGCGAACACACCCTTCACCAAAACCAAGGCGATGGGCTTCACGCATCTGATACTTCGAACCCAAAAGCTCTTTCATCTTGTCCACCGCTGCAACTGGCCCCAAAACATAGAAATCATCACCATGAACAGCTCTCTTCGTTGTAAAACAAAGCAGGGTTTGCAGCACCAACTCGATATCCACCACCTTCTAAAAGCTTCTGCCAGTCTTTCATCCAACCATGGCTTGCATCACGGAAGCCATACATGTTTCGCTTCAGCTTCCCAACCAGATCTTCGCCAGGAACTCGGTCTTCAGGAGGTAGTTCAATGTATAGCTCCCGCTCCACCTTCGGCATAAAGTGCGCGCGGGAAATGTCATAGACCCCCATGACCAGTTCCTGTCCGCCAGCTGTTGCACTCTTAGGTAGGTCAGTTACTAGGAGTGAAAACAAACTCTTCACTGACTCCCAGGGCGGAGTCGCACTGAAAAGTTCATGTGCAAGTAGGGATTCCTTGGTCTTGGCCTTGAGCTCTTTCCCCACAATTCTGCTCCGCAGCTTGACATCCACCCAACGAACAGGTAGTATGGCTTTGTTGCGCTCCAAAGCCATAGACCGAGGCACCTTGTCGTAGAGCTCGATCTTCTTGATCCAGTCCATCTCCTCCTGCCTCGCTTTACGAACCAATTCTGAAGGAAGGACTTCGCCACTGATGTCGTCGAAGTACTCCTGCACCTCCTCTTCCATCTGCTTCTCGGTCTCTGCATCAAACAAAGGTTCTGTTGGACCAGGGCCACTCGCAAAAAGTTCCAAAGCACTGACATGATTGTCTGCCTTCATCTGCCGTTTGAGCCCCTCCAAAACCGCATCAACCAACTCCACTGGATAAGCTTCACATAGATGTGCCATGCCACCAACTAAAGGAATGTGTCGATGGATTGGGCCTCCACATCTATTCGTGCAGTACTGGTCCAACACCTCTGCAATCTCACGAGAATTGGTCACCCATTTGGTATTCTTGTAAACTTTGCCAGCACCAAGTTTCGGGGTCTTCAACTTCATGTTCCAAAAGCACATTGGCCCCGACACCGTGTAGACTCCATCCATGCGCTGGAGTTCAATCATCTCTTGAACATCCCATGAATCTGCACCTGCAGGATGCTCATGAAGAAAGTAGCGACCTCTCAACATCTGCTTGATGTAGAGATCCACACACTGCCGTAGATGTTGTTCACCTTCTTCTCGGCGAAGCTTTCTCACTGGGTTATCCTTGTACTCCTTGCTGAGGTTCTGAAGCAAGCTGAATGGATCGCAACGAGGGGATCCAGTAAGAAGAACCGGGTCCTCCTTGTCGATCAACCAGTCCAACTCCAAACGGTCCTCTGACCTATTCAAATCCCAGTATTCATCCTCCTTGCCCACAATCGGCTTCTTCGTAGCCAAATCCACAGCAAAGCCCGGAGCCAGGCCCAAAATCCCAGCTCTCAAGGTGAATCTCGGTGGCGAGAAAACTTCTGCCACATCCACACTGCCAAGCTCTTTCCTCCTCATTGACAACCTCCGCTCGCAATAGTCCAGCGAAGACAAAGTTCTGCACTTCGATGAAGTCATCTCCACCGCTTCATAGGCTCCCCAGTCGATGCTCGAGATATCGCCTCCAGCATCAGCTTGTCCATGAGGTTCAGGCGCCAAGACATCCTCAATGGAAACATCACCCGCCGAAATCACCGGCGGCACATCACTCGCAGCAGGCCGTAAAACAGTCTGAGCCTGATCTGTGGAGCCTACCGCACCACCACTCTCCAACTCTTGCACTGGGGTCTCAGCCTCACGCTTGTATCTCATATGGCCATCTGCTTTCCATCTCTTCGGCGATCTTGGAGATCCTTCTTGACCTTCATCTTGTCTGCGCCCCAAAGTGTCTGCAGCACCCGGTTGAACTGCCGATGCTGCCGGCGCATCTTCAATGGCCAGCCTCTCGCCCTCTGATGCGGGCTGAACCGCAACCTTCCTCTTCTTTGCCTCTTCTGCTTCATGTTCCAACCTGACCTCAAGTCTGCTGGACACTCTCTCAAAGTGGCGCTGAGTCCTGAGCTTTCCATCTGACTCAGACAGCGACTGATAGATTCTGTCTCTGCACTGCTTGCTGTGGGCTACTGCACGTTTCCCTTCTCTCAAGGCTTTGCATCCACGGCAATCCTCACTGTAACCAAACCTGTCGATGTCCTTCTTCTGAACATAGAACGCCCTCGCATCTGGCGTATCAGGTGCCGGAGGCGGCAACCTTGGAGCACGTTGACCACTTTCCAGCCTCTCTCCAGCAGCTCTCTTCTTGACATCCCATGGAAGCCCACCAAGGTCCTCTAACCCTTCTGACTTCCACCTCAAATCTTCTCCAAGCCTTCTCACAGCAGCACCAACCCGTAGGCCACCTGGAGTAAGTCCAAGAATTGCACCAGAACGTGAATGATGCCCAACATAGCGGACTTCAATCATCCGCTGTTCCCAATCTCTCTTCGGCTTGCCATCCTTCTCCACCGCTTCTCGCATGTAGGTGACCTCACCAAACTCCAATGCCGGTCTGCTCCACTTCCGGCCAAATTCTTTCTCGACGGTAGCAGTTGATGGCATGAGCTGCAAAAGGTGCCATCCACGCCAGCAAAGGACTCGTGTTGGAGATCTTGCCCTTCAACTTCTGCTCCAAAGAAATCCTGATGGACCTCATCTGACGCTTGATTTCTCGCACTGCCACCTCAGCATTGCCGTTGGCACGATGATCTCCCACTGGAGCCGTGCGATGGACCACCTCGACATTGCGGAGCTTCACCGCCGCATCCTGCTTGAGTTTGACCAGCGCCGGCTCATTGTCAGACATGAAGACCACCCTCTTGTGCCCAGTCTCCTCAACAAACCTTGCAATGGCCTTCTGCACATACTCGTTGGAAGTCTTCGAGACCAAAGCAATGGCCTGAAGTCCCCCAGACCTCCCGCTTTTCAATGCCAAAAATGGTGCTGAGTCTTCCTCAGTTGACATGTAGAAGAAGTCAGCATGGATAGTGGGCCCACGCTCCTCCTTCTCTGCCTCCGTCCGAGCTCGATGCTTAGAGCCCGTTGCACGACCTTCAACACAGGCCGGGCACCAGCTGCGATAAACCGCATGGTTCTCCAGGGCATGCTCCTCAACCTGTCTTCTGCTCGGACGATCTGCTTTGTCTGCTTTGACAACACCCCTGGAGTCAATGGGCGGAGGCACAAACCACAGCTCAGTCACCATCCTCTTGCACCACGGCTCAAAATGAGCGTGTGGATTGAATTCAGGAGCAAGCGTAGACTCTTCTCGCAAGACCTCATCAATCTCTTCATCTATGCTCCTCCTCCAAACTACATCAGCCCAATCAGGCCCATCTTGAGACGTGGCCCGAAATGTGAAACAATCTCTGTCTCCCCTCTTCCAACACTGAACATCCTCAGGCAACCCTGGTGGCGGCCCTCTGCTGCTTGGCTCATATGCTTGCCAATGTGGCTGAATCGGATCCAGCCCCTGTCTCATCATCTCCCATCCTCTCCAAGCAACAAGACCTCCAGGCCCACCACCAACCTCATCTGGGCTCGGCCTTACGGGTATCCCTGCCGGCTGTTTGCCGACGAGGAGTCACTGCCACTGTCAATGGCACAAATCTCAGCCATCTTGCCCCGCTTCTGCACATAGAAGTTGTAGAGGTTGCCTTCCTTGTAGAGGGGGATCACCTGCTGATCGCTGAACTGCCTTGTGATCCTCTTGTAGTGGTTGCGCATCTCAGTGGCCAAAGCTCCATTGCGAGGAAGAAGAATGCCACCATCCTTCCAAAGGTAGGCGTCATGATTCTTGCTGAATTCGCCGGCAGACCCAAGAGGCTTGTGAACATGGGTCACCGTTGCACTTATCCCACGCCTGTTGCCACGCTCATCCATCACAGGCATCCTGACCTTCCCATAGCGCGGGATCTTCTCTCCATTGGCTACCTTGAAGTCCCCGATGCGATGGAGCTTGAGATCGTCCTCCACCATCTCAACTGGGATGACTGTTGTCACCGCCCCACTGTCATAGTTCACCTTGATCCACTCCTCACCGTCATACTCCACCAAGTAGTCAGGCTTGCGGCCCTCAATCTCGACCTCCATGCTGTCATCTTGGCTCGTGTCGGATCCACCAACCATACAAACTTCACCGCAATGATCACAAGCACATAGATCCAAATAGCCCAAGTCCTTGCCACATTCAGGTTCTGCTCCAGGTTCACGATAAGTCGTATTGGGCACCGCTTCCAAGGAAGAAGCATTGTTCGAACCCCATAGCCCTTGCCTTTGCCAGAGTTCTTCGACTTGCCCTTGCCGTCGTTCTTGGACTTGTTCTTGCCTTTGCCCTTGTTGTCAGCTCGGTGACGGCAATCTTTACCATAATGGCCATATCCATGACAAACCCAACACTGAACATTGTCCATGCGCTTGCCCTGAGAAGCTCCTCCTCCCTTGCCATAACCTTTGCCTCCACTTCGACAATCGGCTGCACGGTGTCCAGGTCGCCCACACTTGTAGCAGGTGATGTTCTTGCCTCCTTTGCCCTTGGACTTTGAGACTGCATTCAAAGCCCCAATGTCCATGGCGTTGTCATCTTTCTTCTTTCCGCCTCCACTGCTAGACCCAAGCTCTCGTCTGGAGATGTGCAAGCTGTGTTTCGTAGATGCAAAGCTGGACAACCTGTCAAAGAGCTCCTCATAGGTGGTGAACTCATCTTGTCGAAGCATCAGGCTCTCCTCTAAAGACTGGGGCATCAGCTGATGCATTGCTGCCAAAAGCGAGTCATCACTCACACGGCAGGGTCGGCCGTCATTGTCTGTGAACTCCTCGTTTTTGGCCAACCAATCTTCCAAAGCTCCTCCCAACTCCTCAACGCTCTTGCACTTGGGAGGATTCTGCACCATGCCAAGCACCGCAACCCTTCGAACTGAAGACGTCGGGTCATATTCAGCATGAACTCGACGCCAAGCCTCCAGCCCATCTGTTCCAGAGTTGCGGACAACCTTGTTGGCCCCCCCTGTTGTGAAGGAAACCAAGTAGGCGTAGATGCCCTCCACCATTTTGTCCACTCCTTCAACTTGATCAAGAGCATCTGCTGAATCCCCAAAGACAGGATCCCATGAAGAGGTCCTCGATGAGCCATCCGTGTAGCGCATGATCACCTTTCTCTGCTTCGTCGCCCATTGCAAAACTGTGTCCACATCAGCTCTGAACTTGGCTCGCAAGAAAGTTCTCATCTTATGATCCCACTCTGAAAAATCCTGGTCCACCTTGCCGCTGAATTTGAAGGGCTGTCCAACTCCACGAGCATCCACTAGCTCCTCACTTCTACTCAAAGCCTTCAACGCCAAATGGCGCTCCTCCTCAGCTCTCAACGTCCTCGCATTGGACTCGGCCAGCTTCACCATGACGTCCTGCATTTGAGCCTGTTGCTGAAGAAGCATGTCTTGTTGAACCTACATCTGGGCTTGCATCTGTATCAGGACCTGCTCTTGTGTCAGCCCTGCAGCAGCGCCTGCTTGAACTGCCGCTGCCGCTGCTTGTTGAGGACTCGTAGGGCTCCCAACTCCTCCATCTGAAACACCGCTCATCTCGATCGCACCAATCCCAACGGCAATAATCGAAACCAAGACAAGGAAGATCCTATGGGCCCAGGTCAAACACAAGGATGTCCAGGTAGGTCTGAAGCGCTCTGCAAAGATCAGCCGCTGGTCAGCCACAGCGGCACGGGCTATGGGTCCCCTGGGTCGTATGGGACTTACGCTACCATGACGATTCAAAGTGCTACCGTTTCTTCTCTGGGCCATCATTCTCGGAGTATGTAGGATGCTGATTTCAACAATGTGTCAGGTCAGTCATAAGGAAGCAAAAGCGAAAAACAAGTATATGGGTGATGATTATGATGAAAGCAAACCATCTAATTATATCAACTATTTAGATGCCAATAACCTTTATGGACTGGCAATGTCAATGAAACTACCTATAGGAAAACTCAAGTGGATTAAAAAGATTCGAACTGAAAAAATGATACGCGACTGGAATGAAAACGATGACAATGCTTATATCTTAGAAGTTGATTTAGCACACCCAAAGGAGATACACGACGAATAGTCAGATTATCCATTAACACCTGAAAATATGAAGGCTGAAGAAAAATTCTTATCAGAACACCAGAGGGAATTATACAGACACTATTATAATGGGAAAGAAGCAAAGGATGAGAAGCAACCAAAACTGATACTAAACCAAATGGATAAAAACAATTATGTCGTCCATATCAAGGCACTACAGTTTTATATGAAGAAGGGGATGAAGTTGATGAAAGGAAATGTTCAAAAGCTAAAAGCGACTTTGAGAAGGATATGTTCAAGTTGATGAATAACGCTGTTTATGGTAAGACGATGGAGAATGTAAGAAACCACATTGATTTTGAATTAGTATCAACACAAGATAGAATACAAAAGTGCGTGAATAATCCTAACTACAAGGGATGCCATATCATCAACGAAGAAATGCTGTTTTGTCTTTCACCCGCGAGGAATATTTAAAGACATAAATACGGAGTTGTCTGCGGACTAGGTCTGATCATTTTTTGATCCAAGGTCCACGGACCGCATTGAATGAACCTTTACGATTGTCCACGAACAAAGTAACAGATCTGCACTTCGTCTTATGGACAGGAAAGTCATAGTCTACGGACTGACTTGCAGGTCTACGGACACATCATTGGTTCTGGTCTAAGGACAGGAAAGTCATAGTCTACGGACTGACTTGCGGGTCTACGGACACATCATTGGTTCTGGTCTACGGACAGGAAAATCATAGCCTACGGACTGACTTGCGGGTCTACGGACACATCATTGGTTCTGGTCTACGGACAGGAAAATCATAGTCTACGGACTCTATACGGACACATGCCGTGGGGAGTGTCTGCGGACAATTTTAAATGTCACTGTCTACGGACATGTGTGTTTCAAGTCTTCAAGTCAGCTCACATCATCTGAGCAATTGCTGCTGCCGCGTGATTGACTTATTATTATTCAGAAAATAAGAAGAGTCGATGTCGCGCCGCCAGCCACTACTGCCAGCCACTACTGTCGTAGTTGCTTGATTTCTTCATTTCGAGGGGCGAAAGCATTGCATTGAATTGTGGCTCTTTCTGTGTGTTGCCGTCAGCGGCTCCAGGGTTTTGAAACACGCAACTTAAAACATCTAAGGTATGATCAAAAATTTGAAGATTTCCGCATCTTTCAATTCAAAGCTCCAATACTGTCAATCACATTGAATGCATCTTAAGTAAGCCTTAAAGTACTATGACTATCATCAGATTCTATCAATACAATGAATACAATAAGTTCTTCGCTCTCCAGGGGTTTCCTTCTTCGCGCCATGGGAGATTCTCGCGACAAGTTGAAGCACTTGGTTCCAGGTAAGTTGGTCACTGAACACACACAGACTTGCAAGCGAGGAGTGCACAAGTGCAGCTTGTGCGCCGTGCAGCAGTCATGGTCACTTTACAAAAAACCATGGCTGAGAGTGCTTCTGGTCGATGGAGAATCCAAGCTCGGCTGCAGCTTATGCGCGAAAGCCGGTCTGGAGGGCCCATGGGCCAACTTTGAACAACTTCCGACTTCTGTGTTGAAGAAACACAACTTGGAGAGGCATGAGAAGTCCAAGGGACACATGACAGCAAGCCAAGATGATCTTTGCAGAGCCCCTAGCGACGAGGCTTTTAAGTCAAGTTTGCAGGGTATGACGCAAGGACAATCTGCGAGACAAGGTGGCGGATCGTCCGATAAAAAAACTCAAGTGCGGTATGCCCTCTCGGAAGCAGTTTGTGCTCGCAACAGGACTTTGCTGGCTGAGTCTCGCTGCATCTCATTGATGAGAGATGAACGCAAAGGAAATCTTCTTGTGCGCTTCCGCGCTGTTCTACCGGACCTAACCACCATCAGTGGCGCGCTTGGCTTGCAGCCTGTGACAGGTTCTGCTGAGTCCATAGCTGAAGCAACTGCTGAAATCATGCAGCACTTCTGCCAACCGATGCGGCAGCCTCCCAGACAAGCTAAGGAAAGCGAGCAGCCGGTCGACTCTGAACTTCTACGGAAGATTCAGGACAGGGTCACCATGGTGGCCAGTGACGCTGCTGCCTCCGAACTTTTAGCAGGTGACTTAGAGAGAGGGCGCCGTAGGGCCGCGACCGACTTTCAATCCAAATTTACAAATTGCAAGATCGTCGGCAGAGATGCGGCGCATGCATCGACCCGTCTCTTGAAGAGACCATTCCTTGCATTGGAACCTGTCAAAAGTTTGACAAACGAATGGATCCATGGGTCCGAAAGCTTCGCTCAGAAGGTGCACCACAGCCACATCCTCAGCCAATGGTGGGCCAAGGCCGTCCAATGCACAGAGGACTCCGACTTGACTGGAAACCTTTGCACCTCCATGTCTGCGGCGAAGCACAGGTTCTCGTCGTACTTGAATCCTCTCAGCCGGATAATTCGGAATTTGCAAGCAGCTTTCAATGTGTGCGGCAGGGTCCAAGCCATGCGAGGTGCTGAGGCAACTTGGGCAACCAAGCTTTGCCAAAATTTCAGTTCGTTCAAAGCAGCTTTGCTTGCAATGATTACCGACGCTGCAGCTATCAGCAACGACTACACAAGGGAATGCGACCGTGAAGACATTGATGTTGCTGATTTGAATTTACGAGCCAGCCACTTTGTCCTCTCGGCAAGGTCTCTCTTCGTTGACCGGAAGGTGTTGACACTACCCACTTTCACGAAACAATTCTTAGATAGAAGAATTCCCGTGACCATTCTTCAGGATGGGTTTGCGTTGGACATCCAAGTTTCGAACCGAGACTTGGACAGGGCTTTTGCAGTCATGGAGGACCCCGGTGCTTAGCCTAGCTATTTTTTGGGGGGGGCTGTGTCAGTTTGCCATTAAATTTGCCTTTATCATATCTTGTAGTCGTTGCAGCCGGCTGCAGGAATGGGTGTCTCTCGTGGAGGAAGTCGTCGTGCATGAGTTTCCGAGTTGGCACTTGGCGGCGGCATTTCAAGTTTTTCATTTGTCTGACTGCGTAAGAGGCCGTGACTGCAGTGCGGATGTTTTACGGAACTTGGAGAGGCTGGCTCAAGTGTATTCGGTACCTTTTGAGGCACTGAAGCAAGAGTATGCCCGCTTGCTGCCCATTGCTGCAGCTTTGAAGAAGCAAGCAGGCTTGAGTAACAGAGAAGCATGGAGGGAAGCCCTTCAACGCACAAGCAGTCGGAAAGGTGCCCAGGGAAGGAAGTATGAGGCCACGGCCCTGATACAAGTCATGGCAGCTTATCAATGTTGGACCGCAGCCACAAGTGGAGTGGAGCAACAATTCTCGAAGCTCAAGAGAAGCCCTGTGGAACTTTCCAACGCTTCTGTGGACACAGACCGTCGCCTTGCGATTGTCATGGGCGATGGGCAGGCCAGGAGCCCAGCAGTGCAACCTGAAGTGATAAAAGCCGCTCGACGAATCTACGCTTCCCTACTGTCCAGTGGAAGGTCCCGGCCGCGGACAAAACCAAGGTTCGATTGTGGTGTGAAAGGCAAAGAGAAGACCGGATCTTTTGCCGACTGGAACCGCACAAGAAAGAAAGCATTGCTGGAAGCAGTGCAAAAATGCGAAACACCTCCTCGGAAACCTTCCGAGCTGTTGACAGAATCTTCCCAGAAGGAAAGAAATTTCCAGAGAAAACAGGGTTTGAAACGAAAGGCTGAGGCTCTGGCAGATGGCTGCTTGTTGCCGGATGAGGTCACCCAAGAGGTTCAGGAAGAGGCCTTGCGACTGACCAAAGCAAACCGACAAGGAGATGGTCTCAGGAAAAAAAAAGACAGGCATACGAAGTGTCCGGTAAATTGACCTCCACGAAGAAAAGGCATCAGTGGGCCTGCCAAGGTCTCAGTGGCCCAGCGTGGTGTTGCTCCAAGATGGAAGGCGGCAAGGCGCAAGCAGTGTCTCAATCTTTGACGGCACATGGGGTTGCGACGAGAACTCAGGAGCCTGGGGGAATCGTTTGTTGGTGAATTGCCTGCCATTGATTTGCATGTTTGTTTTTATTTTGTTCGTGCCAAGCATCTGCATCTTACTACCCATGTCCAGGACCTGCGGCAAGCCAAGCTCTTCGTGGTCTCAAACTTCGTTAGGGTGCAAAGAAAAGTGCGTTTCATGGCTGCTCTGAGTGGATCCGTCTTGATGTCAGCCTCTGCTTTGCTTGGAGCAGGAGGTGTGAAGTTGACGTTTCACCCGGGTCAGGAGATACAAGTTGCAATCTTCGTGACTGACACTTTCAAGGCCGAAGAGCCAGGAATGACTGTACTGCTACGTGAGGCATGTGCCCGTGGGTGGCAGGCAGTGAGGGCGGAAGATTTGAAAGGCCGCGGGCGAAAGCCCAGTCTCCATCTCAGGGGTGCGGGGGAGGCCATCTGGTTTCAACAAAACCAGGGTCAAGTGTTTTACTGTCACCGAATTTTTGCATTGGCTCACGGCAACTTGTCTCAACAAGACGGCAAGCTCCCGTGTGAAGATAGCAGCTGCTTGAGAACGATCCTGCAACAGGGGATGCTTGCGGGAAAACACGACATGTGTGGAAAGCACGCATGCAGAGCAGTGTCGGTCTAAATTGCAAACCCGAGAAGCAGAGGCCATGCATTGAATGAATGCCCGTATCAAAAATTCCAAGAGGATGTTTGTTTTCGGTTTTAATACTAGGTACGAAGTAAATTGTTTGGGAGTTCCATTGTGGTCGGCCAAGGCGCAAAACACATGGAAACAAACATGTCAAGATGTACAGTCACAGTTGCCTGTCAGAGATCGTCAATGTTGACAGCATACACGACAGACATGAGGACTATATAAGACAATACAAAGGGTATAGGAAACCTATCCCTTTTTTCATGGGGACAGTTTTCCGGAAATCATTTTACATCACAGCCACCATCTTGCCTATACTATAGATTTTCTCTTCTGGCTCTGATATCATATTTTTCATTGGATCCATGTGGACATCACACCCGGGTTGGTATAATAATAATAGGTGATACTGTATAACATGGAGGACATAGATTTAATCGCTCAATTTGTGGACGATTCCCGCCATCTTTCCTGCCTGATCTACCTGCCGCTGTAACAATCCACGTCTGCAGCTTTTGCTTCTCAGCCCGGTACACAACAGACCGCAGAACAACTCGGCCATGGATAGGCTGCAAACATACCAAGAGGCGTGTTTCCTTGCCTGTGAAAGTAGGGAGGCTGTCGTGTTGTTCGACGACCTCACTGACCGACTACAAGACAACCCTACATTTATCCAGGAACTTGGCCTGCAGCAGCAGGAGGTCGATCGAATCCAAAATGGGCTCAGGAGAATCACGGATCGATCCTTCGACTTCATGAACAGATTGGCCCGTGGCCTCGCGCAAGACCTACCCCAGCCGGTGCTTCAGCCTGACATCACTGAGGGGTCACAAGGAAAGAAGCCTGCGGGCGATTCAGGAACCGAGGGGGCTAACACAAGTCCGGAGTCCGGCCTCTGCAGATAAGGCTGCGGTGGAGGAACCTTTTAGTCTTGATGAATCCTGGCGAGTGGCAGAGGCAGCCCACGCGCATGTACCTGCGGTGTTTGAAAGCGTTTTGCTGCCCAAGCCAGAAACGGATTCGCAGGAAGTTTCGTCGGTTGAAACAAACGACGAGGAAAAATAAAATAAGCTACGGCTTAATGACTTCTTGGGCTAATTACCGCGTCTACGGACGTGTGGGTTTTGCAGTGAAGGTTGATGACGTAGGCCGTAGATTAGTCAGTCTCGCCTCTGACAACATGAGGCCTACGAGTTTTGGAACAGTGTCGACAGAGACCACTGAAAAGCGTTGAGTGAAAACTGAAGCTGCAGCTCTGACTGAGTTGTTGACGAATTGAATTTCCAGATTCAATGATTGGCTTGACTGTGTTCTCCCGTCGGTTTATTTCATTGACAGACAAAACAGACTTTGTCGATCGTCGATTTTAAGCCATGGCTGACAGTTTCGTTATTCATGAGTAGAGCAGTTACTAGTCAGTAATCCCTCGCGCTGTTGCATTGCATTTCTTTTTCCGCAGAGTTTTCAATTCAAACAGAAAATGACAAAAGGCAAGTCGAGCCCGTCTTCCGGCAAAGCGCCTCCTCTCAAGAGCCATGGTCCAAAACGGACACTTCAGAAGAAAGTTGTCGTAGTCAGCAAGGAGGTGCTGCGCTCGCAACTGGAGCGGGTTAACGCCTTAGCGTCAAACTGGCTCACTCGATTGGGCAGGCACAAGGCTTCAAAGAAACAGAGAGTGATTCACACTGCATCAGACTGTTCGGGCCACGGCTCGGACCTGATAGCATACAGGCTTCTGGGGCTGCAAAGCCAAGTGCAGCCCGTCATGATGTCAGAGGTCAGCCGACAGAAGGTGTTGTTGCACCAAGCTGTCGCCCAAGAATGTGGCTGGAACTACGACGACCACCAGGTCATTGACATGTTTCTACGGAAAGAAGAAAGCATGAAAACAGCCGACGTTTACGTCGCAGGCTATCCGTGCCCGTCGTACTCCAAGTTAGGAAAACGCCAAGGCGCCTCTGACCAGCGGGGTCTTTTGACCCTGAAAGGGTTGGAATATGTGGCTTTGTGCAGACCCAAGGTGGTCGTGTTGGAACAAGTCAAAGCCATACTCGAGAAGAAGCATTCGCAAATTTGGAATTACATTCTCAAAATTTTGAACAAGCTCGACTATGTGTTCGACCACCAAGTCTTGAGTACCCAGGACTTCGCCATACCGCAATCGCGCTCCCGAGTCTACATACTCGCGGTGGCCAAGGAGATTTGCGCTGGAACAGTGAAGTTACCGGAGAAGCGGTCAGAGAAGGTTGACTTGCACCATTTCATCCAAAAGGACAAGAGCGGCTCCGAGGTGTTGCAGCTACCGAGGTACGAAGAACTTTTAGGTAGCAAGATGTGGCGTAAGGGATATATTCTCGACGTAGGATCTTCGGAAAAATTTCAAGCAGCGATGACAAACTGCGCACCGTGCTTGACGCACACGCGCTTGGGACAAGGAGGATATTATATCCCAAAACTGAGGCGGCGCTTGCTGCTTGAGGAAGCTGGTGCATTACAAGGAGTTCCAAAGAAAGTTGTCAGAGCCATGCAAAGGGCAGCTGAGGAACACAAGCTTCCTGCGCGCACAGTGGATGCCAGCCTTGGCGATGCAATGAGCATCAATGTCCTGGCAAGTGTGTTGATGAAAGGCTTGACACACTCTCGCTTAGTTCAATTCAGTGCACAGGAAGATCATTGGAGATTAGTTGCTAATGGTCCGGACGCTGCAACGCTGAGTGACCGTTTGTTCGACGGAACAGCCCGGGCGGGACCAGGTTTAAAATGAACCTCGTCAGTGCTTTTTTTGGCGGCCGCATCAACGGAGGCGAGTAAGGAGACTGGGATTTCCCCAGTTCCCTTACCCACTCCCAGCCCAGGCCAGACCCGGGTAAGGATAGTAGGGAATGTGCTAAGCATACTGGGACAATCGCCGCCCCATCACGCACGCAAGTTTTACCACTATCCTTACCCACTCCCAGCCCAGGCCAGACCCGGGTAAGGAGACTGGGATTTCCCCAGTTCCTCTACTCATGCCCGTTGGAGCGTAACAGAGCGTTGCCCACTTGTCTTACCCAAGATCCCAGCCCAGGCCAGACCCGGGTAAGCAGCGCGACGTTTAGCGGTAGCACGCCCAGTCTTCTTACTCACTCGAGTCTTCATGATATAATTGATGATAAGACTAAGATAATGATTCATTATTAACTTTGGCATTTACGATTTTATCATCATCACTGTTGCACGTCATATCCTGTCCCACCTGCTGCATTTCGATTCCTCTGTGACCGCCATGCCCATTGTTTGCCACTGTCGGCCCAAAGTTTTTGTAGGAAGAGGAAGTGCTTGACTGACAGACACTGTCCAAGTTGCTAGCCACTGCAATGACCGTAGCAGCCTCTGAGATTCGGAACATTTCCGCATGGCGCTTGAATAAGGCTGAAATGAATGAGCTCGCTGAAAGGGTTAAGAAAGGAGAGGAAGAAGCGGTGGTGAAGAAGGAGCTTCAGACCAAGAAGGCTGTGGCCTGCGAAGAGCGTAAGAAGTCCGCTGCGGCGATTTCTGCCAAGCCTGAATCCACGGGTCCCAAGGCAAGCAAAAAGACTTCGTCGTCGGCTGCAACTCAGTCAGCCACGGCTGCTGCGACTCCAGACCCAACGAATGCTGGCTACTATGCTCTGGTAGAGGCGGACCTCCAGACAATTTTGCAGGAGTTCCCAGGCATTGACCAGGAAATGCCTTTGCCGCTCTCCAAGTCTGAGTTGGACGGATCCAAGACTGGGGTTCAAGAGCCCTTTGACTTGGAGTCGGCTCGGCATGCACATGGGATTCATAGAGTTTTTCGTTGCAGCATTTCCTTGTTCTGGGTTCAGATCCTGGCGTCGCCCACGCCGGGAATTCCAATGAGCCGGAGGAGAGTTCTCGACATGGGAGAGTTTTACTTCCCGAACGGAAAACCAGCTTTCATGACAGGCCGTATGGTGGAGCTTCTGGCCGACAAGCCGGCTCTGAGCGCCAAACCCCAGAACCTTCAGATGCTGTCGCCAGAAGAGATTGTGCATTCGCTGGTGGCTTCCTGCGCTCACGCTGTTCGGTGCCTTGTCTGAATTTAAAGACCTTGTTTAAAATTAGTTTGTCACATCACATTCAATAAAAAGCACAACTTCCACGGATCCATCAAGGCGCAAGGATGAGCTCTCCGAGGACCAATGGAAGGAATGGAAAGCACAGTGGCGTGCTGTGTTGCTGAGCGTGCCGGCTTCTTTTGTGGAGACACAGGACCCTTTGCAAGGCCACAATGTGTGGGTCGAGGCATTCAATCGGAGACAAGCGGTGAAGCAAGAGCATGAGTCCATGAGCAGGACAGCAATGCAGATTGCTGTGGAAATTGACCAGTTCAAGACTATGTGCGAAAGTTTGCCCAGCTGTAAATCAAAATTGCAGCCGGCGCAGCTGGTACAGGAGCTTCACACACTTGGCCTGCTGTCCGTGCAGGGCGGCCGCAAGGAGGATGACAGCGATGGCAGAATCACCGTCAACTTGGTGACGCAAGCTCTGGCTGTCAAACAGGGCATTCTCAGCTCAGCGCGGGCAGTTGAACTTTTGCTGGAGCTGGAACAGTTATACGGGACGCGTTCTCCCTTCCACCAGATGAGTCGGCTTCACGTTCTTTCGACCAAGCCGAGCACAAATCAGATGCGAGACTGGGTGCTGGAGAGCTTGCATGATGGCCTGGCCTACGACGTCTTGCAAATAGGAGAAATTTCCAAGGGCAGTCTTTCCAGAGACAAGCACCATACCGGTCTCGTAAGTCTTTTTGAAATGAAAAAGAAGGCCGGGTCCACAGAATATGGTGCACTTTTTTTCTTGCATTTTCCCGATTGTAATGTTGTTTCCATGTTTTTTGCCAAGTCTTGGACCACTTCTTCGAAGTGCTGCTTCCGAAGAGCGGTATGGCAGAGGGTGACAGGGCTTTGCTGAAGGAGAAGCTGTCTGCCCATGAGGTGTACCGGCAACATTCAGGCGACGGAGATTGTACCTGGATGGCGCGGCTTAAGAAGTCCGGCATTGACTGCTTTCACTTGCTGGAGGACAGGTTCTTTTGTTTGCAATGGTCCTGTGCTTTTTTTTTCATTTCAAACATGGCATAGCAATTTAATTGGCACCTATCATCGCAGGACCTGACTTACACCAAGAAGTATGACAACGGCCTGCGACAAGCCACGAGGTCCGGGGGAGCTCCAGAGGCAGTTCTGGAGCACGAACAGGTGAAAGAACAGGTGAACCAGTTCCTCGCCACCTTGAAGGACGAAGAAGTTGAAGTAAAAGCTTTGGCTGCAGGGGCAGCCGCAAACGCTGCAGACCCGGACCAGGCAGAGGACGAGCTTCAAGAGGTGCGAAAGCCGCCCAGCCAACACTCTGAAGGGTCTGAGAAATATTGGAAAGCGGTTGGCAACCAAACTGTTCGCACTTACTGCTCTCTCCATGTGCAGCCTAAGACCTTGGACGGCATCATCAGTTTGGTGAGCCAAAGTGGTTTGAAAGACTTCCAAGGAGAGGGAGGTGTCAGCTGCGTTCTGACTCATCTTGACTTAGACGCACTGGGAGAATCCATGGGCCCAGGTCAGAGACCACTTCTCCGAAAGCGCTTTGTTCCCGACCAGTCAGCCCTCAGAATCTTGTTGCATGGTTCGATGATTGCAAGAAACGGCCAGCGCAAAGGGGACGAGTGCATGGTTCCGTCAGAGGGTGAACTGGTTTTCGTGCACTGTGGCATGGAACGTTCCAGCAAAGAAGCAGAAGCCTTGTTCCGACCGGCTGCGGCCAGAAAGGATCAAGCCATCGAAGCGGAAATGAAAGATGTTCTCCTGGTCTTTTCTGACACCTCCATTCGGGACCGCAAGCAAAGGGTTCGAGGAGCTTACACCTCCAGGTCCACCGCCTGTCTCTTCTCCGGAGCTCCAGTGTCAACCATGGTCCCGGAGAAGCCATACACTGACTTCTCAGGGCACAACTTGGGAGATGTCTTTGGCACCATTTCCGCCTTGCAGGCAGAGGACCTTTGGCATCTCACAAGGACCCCGGCAGAGTTTTTCTCACAATGAATAATGAACCAAGCGCATGACATAATGAATCCTTGTCCCTGCAGGAAAGAAAAGGAGGAGGTGCTCACCACAGGCAGGTGCGTGTCGCCGACTGACGCCGCTATGAACAAAGCCAAGGAGGCCTCCAGCGAAAGCGTCTTCAGTGCAGCTTTGTTGCCCTGCTCTTTCTACAGAAGTTTTCTCAAAGCCCACTCTGTGAAAGCTGTGTGCCTGGGAAGCAATCTAACCACATCAACCCTAAAATATTTGATCATCCCATGTATAGGTAAATAATAATGATTCACATTAAATTAATCGCCTGACGATTGAAAATAATATCCCTATATCACATGATATCCTGAATCAGAATTCCTCGCACATTTCATTTCAGGTTGGACCTCAGCACTTCTCAGGGAGAGTTGGCAAAGGCCTGTGTGGCCGAGCGTGTCAGCTACCTCGGGCTGACGCTGTCTGACTCACATTCCACTCATATGAAATTAAAAAAACCAACTTTGTCGTCACTCTGATGCAGACAGAGGGCTCCACTTTCTGCCGCTCAGATACCGTGGCCCAAGGAAAGCAGCAAGAGCAGGTCACCAAGGGGGGCAAGCGCAAAAACGAAAATTCCAAAGAAGAACGCCCCAAGGCCAAGGCCAAGGCGAAGAAAAACAAGGAAGAGCAGACCAAAGACGACGACAAAGCTACGGCGCCTGACGCAGGAGACGACGACGACGACGCTGAGGACGGTTCGGACGCACTTCCGTGGTAGGTAGTCCAGTCAGGTCAGTTCGTCGCCGCTGAAAGTTTTGGTCCTTGGATGGCAGCAGTTGTTGTCAGACACACCTATAATAAATACCTTAAATAAATAATAAAGACTGCTTTTTTTCCAACGGCTGCCCTCCAATTTTGGAGAACAATCGGCAAACCCACTGAGTGAAACTCAAACAAGGCAGGGGTGTAAAAAAGAAGCATTGTCAAATTGTGCTTGCAAGTGTCTCACATGATTTGACACGGCAGTCTCGCTCGGATGTTGACACTGAGTGACACACTGAAACATTTCATTTTTATTATTGGTTGCCCAGGTGCTCTGGCTCAAATTAACTGAGACTGTGGCTGCGACCCCGCTGCTCGGAGGAGCCCGCTGAGACCAAGTAGGCGAGGGTGAAAGTTGCATACCCAACTAAGTTATTTCCCAATTAAAAAAATATATAAATTATATTAATCGCGAATCTTCCTAGACCCACCAAAAAAAATAATATGTATATGATATGTACGGTACACAGTTATTAAATATATTAAACCCAATCGTCCTCCCCCACTGCTGCCAGGCTGATGACCACTGAACGTTCTCGTCGTCGTGGCGACCGCCGTGACCGTGGTGATCGCCAAAAAGACGAGGAGAAACGGGGTCGAAGCCGTGACAGACGGGAAAAAAAGAAAGGCCGTAGCCGAGACAGAAGGCGGCGTAGGGAGACTGACAAGTCTCACGGCAGCAAGCCTCTCCTAGTCCCAGCTGAAGCTGCTCCGCCTCCTGCTCCGTCTGCGGACGCTGCAGCTCCTACGACGAGAGAAGAGGCGTCGCACGACGACGAAGAAGGAGGAAGAGTCGGTTCTTGATGAGGACCCACCCGTAAAGCCACCTGCAAAGCGCGCCGCGCCAGAGTCCCCGACCAGGGAGGCTGCCAAGGCAGCCCGTCCAGGTCCAGCCAAGGCTGAGGCGGTGGCGCGTCGCGAAGGTGACCAGCCGCCTCACCAAGGTGAGACGTCTGAGAAGCGTGACCAAGGTCACAAACCTGATGAGGAACACAAATCTCACCAAGCTTGGTGGGATGACAAGCGTCACCAAGGTGGGAACGACGACAAGACTCGTCGGTATGACTGCAGCATCTGCGGCCGCAAAGTCGGAGGTGGAGTTGCCGGCTCGTGGCAACATCGCCGGTCAGCTCACCATTTGGCTTCTTATGTCTACTGGAACAACAAAGAGACCCTTCCCTGGAAGAATTGTCTCCAGGAAGGGCAACGCTGGAGCATGCACCTCTGGGCGACGAACCAAACAGGTCCGGAGGATGACGCATTGCCCAACAAGCCTAAGAAAAAGCAAAGGTCTCCAGTTCCAGTGAGATGCGACCCGGAACGTTCCCGCCGTGACAAAGACCACCAAGACCCTGACCCGGACACAGGAGCAGGGTCCTCCGGTAGCAACTTGCTGCTGCAAATGTGGCAAACCACACTGAAAGAGCTGCGGTAGAAGGGTTTTGAGGAGACGGCCGGTACAGTCTTCCCACCAAGCCTGACGAGAAGAAGAAAAAAGACGCATCGCCCAACCAATAAACATACTTCTGTTGATTAAAATGGTCTGCGGCCCAACCAGTAAACATACTTCTGTGAGAATAATAATGAATCATTGTTTAATCAATTATCATGCGATGGAAATGCAAGGGTTGAACAAGAATCCAATTCAGACTCAAAAATTAAATTGCACATCAGGACATGTTGCAGGAACCAGCACTTACTTTTGACAGTCAACTTGTCACGTCATTTTCCAAGGTGTTTGGCTCAATGGTTAGCGCCTGCGACCCGCGCAGCCTGCTGTGTGTAGCCGCGGCGGCCCTGCAGAAGGCGGGACCATCTTTACAGTGTAAACCCAACAGCAATTCACTTCTTATTTCCTATTAAATAAATTAAGAATTGAATCCAGGACCAAGGATCAATTGTCACATGGAAGTGACTGAAAGAATCTACGGACGACATTCAACTCAGTCTACGGACTCCAATCTAAAGTCTACGGACTGTCCAACTCTACGGAGTTTATTTTAAAAAGTCTACGGACTACTGGGTCTACGGACTCGAGGGAAAGTCTACGGACTATAGAGTCTACGGACTCCTTATTTTCAAGCAAATGACAATTGATCTGCATGGTCCTGGCAATGATATCAAACTCTTATATACTCTTAATTTTAGTTAAAACCACAATTGTCTGCTCGCGTCCTGTCAGGTCGTGATGGCGGAGAAGAAGCAGAAGAAAGACCGCGGTGACGACAAAGATCGGTCTCATAAGAAGGACCGCGGGTCTGACCGCCGTGGAGACGACTCAAGTCGTCGTGGTCGCAGTCGTGCACGGCGCACTGAGACAAAGTTCGGTTGCATTAGTTGGAAGCATACATTAAAGTATATTAAGGTTATTAACGTAAATTAACGTTAATTACCGTATATATGTGTTATATATGTTTCCATAAAGCAAAGTAATAGAACGTTCATTAGGCCAGGGGTATCCACATAATTAATATGAACCCAAATATATTGCGGGGAGATGGATTGTCAATGTTTGCAAACCGCAATTCTTTTTGCGCAGGGATCGCCACGAATCTAGTTGTCGCCAAACAAGGAGTTTGCCAAGGCGTTATTTGCCTCATCTCCTTTCTGTTCCTTGACCGCTGCTGAGGCTGCTGGTGTGCCTTTAGCAGCAGGAATAGCACGGATATTTTCCATCGGCACCGTTTTTTCCTCAAATTTGGCCGAACCTTCCAGAATGATCAATTTCACTTTCTTGCTCAGCAATGCCTTGATTTCGCACTTCTTTTCATTGTACTTATCTTTGTGTTTGGATGCCGAAAGGATCACTTGCTGGCCCACAGCAAAGGTGGCAGCACCCGCTGCTGTCTCAGCAGCGGCGGCAACGGAATGCTCCTGGGACGAATCGCCCTTCGGCGTTTTGTCCAGACCAGGCTGCTCACTTTTCACTTCAGGCTTAGATTTCTCTTGAGCAAATTGTTGGCCTTTGGTTAGCAAAGCAGCAAGGAGAGGAAATTTCTCGGTATATTCTCCAGGGACAGCTTCCGTACACTAGACATCACGGTCTTCCTGAGACCTGGTGGGACTGCGCAGCTACTTCGATATTTCGAAATCTAAAAATTATGGCTCCTGCGTGTTGAAACCAAATTAAAACGAACCACGCTGTTTCACGGCCCTGCCTTTCAACTGCAAATCTGACAATCATCCAAGCAGCCAGGCGCTTTCGCCAACTCGGCCGGGCAGTGAGAAATAGTCAGCTTCAAAGAGGCAAGCTCCATAAGGAATGCAACGGACAACTCGGGAGCCAACTCTTTCACCCGCAAGTAATCTTTCAGAACTGCTTTCACTCTTTCCTGCGGAATCAGATCCACACAAGATTCCACAAGGTGAACGGCTTTCAAAAAGTCTTCTGGGCACGCCAGAGTGAATTTCGCAGTTGTGAAATGACACAAAGCTAGGCTGGGATGCTGCTCACCGAACCAATCTTCCAAATGCTCCAAGCGCTGGGGATCCTCCAACAGGAAACGGCTCATCTCAGCTTCTGCAATGCTGCTCAGCATAGTTTCAGCACAACGCAGAATGCCTTTCTGCTCCTCACTCACTTCATGCTGCAACAAATCTTTCACCACAGCTAAACGTTCTGAGCAAGGTACTCCGTGCTGCTCTTTCACTTTCAACAACCTTGCACTGACTTTGCGCAAAGAACATTGCGTGTACAACTTGGAGTGGAAAAATGCATGCTGCTGGGACAGGGATAGCTCACCAAAATCCATGTCCTGCTCGATATCCTGGACTAAGGTGGACAATTTGACCACAGCAGCAGCAAGTGGAGGATGCAAGTCGGCGTGGATGCCCTTCAACGTGTCAAAATGTTTGGAGAAGGCCGGAAGATCATCCACGCATTCATTCCTGGGAAAAAACGACGGAGAAATATCAATAAATGGTTCGGAATCATCCATTCTCACCATCAGCAAAATTTTGAGATGCTTGGGTCTACTGTGAACAGACCAATGGTTATATAAACAATTGTTTTTATTATCATTAATATTATTATTATAATATATATATTATATTATATATATATATTATATTATTTATATATATATATATTATATTATATATATATATATTGTCAGATTGACACTGGTAGCTTTTTCACTTCCAATCCTAATCCCAGTTGGAACCCTGTCCAGCAATGCAAACTCCTGTTTTGCCCAATGCGAAGCCACAACCTGCAATCAGTCCAACGCACCCACAGCTGGCCACAGCTGTATCCGCTAAGCGTCACTGATAGCGCTATTGCTCAAGCTAATCCCTCCCTCCAGCCCAGAGGCTGCGGCAACAACTGGTTTCTGGAAGAACCCCCTGGTTCCATGAGGGAATGACCTCAAGCACATGTGAACTGGCCTGGCTTTCACATTCGTACTATCAAAATTTTGTTCATCATGTGCACATTCCAGATACGACTTCGGTGATCAGGATGGTGAAGACAATCACGGACATGATGTTGGAAAAATACCCAGTTGATTACGCATTGAAGACAATGTCAACCTCATCACTGGTAGTTGTCTCCTGTGAGGCAGAGACCATGCTTGCATCATCGAAAGATCTAATTGGGTTTTCAGAACTTCAATCGGATAGCGCATGGACGGCTTGGCTTTTCCACAAACTACCGATGCTCTGAACTTTCGGGATTGAGAGCTTGAAGCCATTTGATTCTGGTTCTTGCATCTGATCTAGCCTTGAGTATTTCATGCTCGTCATGCAAACTGTAGTGACCTTGCTGTAAGCATGTCCTAAGCATGGTATTGTCCATGACTTTTGTCAACGCATCAGCTACTTGAGCGGCTGATGGAACCCATCGGATCTGAATGCCATTTTGGATATGTTCTCGAATCAGCTTGGCTTGAAGTTGAGTACGAAATTCAGTGCAAGTTGGGGGAGCATTACGGTTGATTAAGTCAAAGAGTGATTTACAATCAGTGGTAATGAAATCAGAACGTTCCTTGGGAATATCATTGAGGATTCTTTTGGCAACTTCAGGCATCGGCTGTTTCTCAGGCAGTTCTGGTGTCAACGCTGAAAATGCTGGTGGAAGTCGGAGGAGAGTGCTATCAGCTTGTCTCCAATCACAGCGATGATCACATATCCATGCCCAGAAAAGGCGCACCCAAGAAAGCATATCCACTGCTCCTGCCAGAGCCATTGCTTCGGCAGACAACGTGCTGACTGCTACCTTCTGGATTTTCTTAGAATGCCATACCATTGGATTGATTGGACTGCGTCTATTTTCACCAATGCACTTGTGAGCAGACATGATCATCATTCCCTGATGTGAGTCAGGGCATTTCTCTGACGCAAAGGAGGCATCGGAAAAAGCAACAAACCGCAAATCAGGAACTGGTATGGATTGTATTCGCAGGGCCACATTGGAATGTTGTTTTGCTTCATGGAGGGTTCGATTTGCTTCAACCAATGTGGACACTTTTGCTTTGTTGATTTGGCTTTGAAGCCAACCCAGTCGGCTGCATATGTCAGGTCTCGTGTTTACAGCTGCATACTGTAGGCTCCCTATCAGAGCTCGCAACGCTTGTCGTTCCTCTTCTGTGACGACACTGTCTGGTTGACACCTTCGATCATGAGAGATGGAAATTGCATGAATATCCCGAACATACTGTGACTGGTTCACTGTGATAGTGTAATCAGCTTCTTGCGTGACATGTAAACCAGTGAACACAAATTTGTGCATCTTACGGGATCCAAAAGGAAACTTGGCTTCCAGTTGTTTGAGCTTGTTCTGAAAAGTTTCATTCCCACAACACAACCCATCATCAACATGAACACCAATCAGACCTTGTGTCTCCTGGGTTTTGGGGTCACTCAGATGGAACAGGCACGGATCAAACGGTGATGCTTGGAATCCCAGCTCCTCTAGGGTCTTCTTCAGTTCAACAAACCAGAGATATGGTGCGTCAACACGCCCATAGGCACCTTTGAGAAGTTGCACCACTTCATCTTGACGGAGCTTGAGTTTCTGTCGCATCTCTTCTGGTGGTTCCATGCCTAAAACGCGATTGCTCTGCTCGCTGCCTCGTAAAAATGCAGTCTGTACATCGAAGCTTTGGATATCCCATTTTCGGCTGGCACAGTACTGAAGGAGAAGCATCCGGGTCAGTTTATTCATTGTCGGACTATCACGGGGAATTTCTGATACTTCAGGATCTTCAAAACCAAGCACAACTAGTCTAGCCTTCGGTTTCATTTTCTGGGATTGTTGGGGTTGATCAGCTGTGGGATCAACTTCTTTCCAAGTTAAAATCCATCGGCTTCGGAGAATGTTGGCTTTTGGGATCTGATTACGCATGATTTTTGTGATAGTCTCGGTACTGATCCAGCTTTCCACTTCTTTCATCTTGGCCTGCCGGAAACGCTCGCGATCTTCAGCTGTGAGATCTGACAATTTCACCTCACTGCGCTGTCGTTTTGCTGCTGAAACAAGGAAAGCCATTTCCTGTGGTTTTGTTTCCTCACGCCAGCGGGTGATGTCTTGAGCACAAATGGGAATCTCTAATTTCCAGCATTGATCATTATCAACTTGGAAAACATGATCGGCTTCCACAAAGAGTTCATCATCCGTATCTGGAATTGGCACTTCCACTGGATTGGGTGGCTGTTCAACATTTTCGGAGGGATCCTGGTTGTTGGGAACTGGTTCACCATCAGGTTGTTCAGAGTTACTGTCACTTATTGGGATTACTGAAACGTTAGGGTTATCTTCATTGGGGATTATTGGAATCTGATTCACATCTTGATTATTGGCAGTGTTAGTTGAACTTGGTGCCTCAGTGGGAATTAAATTGTGATATTGTACTCCGCCATGTGGTGGGATAATGCTTTGATTTGGTGACGTGGAACGTGGAGAATCACCTGATTGATTTTCATTGATTGTGGATCGGTGTTGCCACTCCTCAACTGCTGACAGCGGTCGGAGGTGTTCCGGAGCTACGCGATACAGCTTGCTGCCCATGGTGATCCACACAACATGTGAACTTTCTTGCAACACAACTCGAAGGGGACCTATCCAAGAGCCATCAGCTTCACCACGTTTTCGCCACATCATGACATGGTCTCCCTGGACATACTTGCCCCGATTGGGTCTACTCCTTTGGACCAGGGCTCTTCTTAGGACCTGACAATTGTCAGTGGCAGTGAAGGCGCGACGCGCGCGTTCTCGCAGGGCCAGTTCCTCTCTAAATCGGAGACCTTCAGGACGATCATCAATGGCTAAACTGTGGGAAGGCAACTGCATATCTGAAACTACTGAACCGGCTACCCTACTTGACTTTCCAAACACAAGGACTTCTGGTGGATAACCCCTGTGACGGCTCCATTGATTTTTGGTTGCAGTGGCCAAAGCGGTTGCTTGGCTTACTTTTTCAAAGGAATCAAGTGGTTCTTCGGTGTCCATTTTGTTCAAAATGCTTTGCAGTACAGCTCCATGTCTCTCAATCCTGGAATTTTGCCAGTGTGCTTCTGTGGCAATGGTTCGATGTTTGATTGAGTACCGTTGCAAAAATGTCATGAAGTCATTGGAGTTCAGTTCTGTCCCTGCATCCATGCATAGGAGACCTGGAGGTCCGGCCCATTGAATCCACCCCTGGTGAAGCGCATGTATGGCCTGTTCAGCATCATGTGCACGAGTAACCACGGCAGTGTGATACAAGGTACTTTGATCCAACATGTGATAGATGTTATACTGTTGCCCCATCTTATTAGTCCATGTGATACCATCAATTGCAACAACATCTCCAAAATCCCCATGGTCATGTATGGAACTTGGACGAGCTATCTTGGGATCTTGATTCTCAGCACATGTTGAACATTTCAGGTCTCCGATGGCTTGGAGAATTTCACTGGGGCATCCCAGTTGTCGACAGAACTCTGTCAATTTCATAGCTCCCGGATGGCCCAGGTTTCGGTGAACTTTGAGAAGCCATGCCTGAGTTTCTGGCTTCAACATCATGAAACGTGGTCCATGTTTCTGAGAGGCTAGGTCAATGACATGACGATCTATTGATTCGGTCTTTTCTGGTTCGGAAACTCTTTGGGCCACATCCATTGGCTCATGAGTGCGCGGTCGCTTTGGTTCTGGTTCTGATCCTTCGAACTCAGCAGAGCGAACAGCACGGACGTCGGCAGAAGATTGAGACTGCACTGGAACATGTTCGGAAACAGGTATCTCTTGGCCTACAACTGTCTTGGCTTTGGCAAATATGGTCAGACTGACTCTGGCTGGCGTTCCCTTTCGACGCAAGCCTTTAAATGTCAGTTTCTCCCAGGGCTCCCATTCATCATCAACAACCACATCTTCATGCTTGCGACGGATGCAGATGCGTTTTCTTAGAGGAGCACTACCTGGTGGAACATTTCTGGTAGGGCCAGGATATCGGTCTGTGCCACGACAAAGGACCACATGTTTAATCTCATGTTCAGGACATAACATGGAAATCTCATGAATGATTTCTCCAGTGTCAATCACCAGTGGTCCAACACGTGGGGCCATTACATTGGCACGTCTCATCACTGTCTGCCAGCTGGCGTCAGCAAATCGCTGTGCAATGGCTTGTGGACTCAATTTTGACATGAGGCGTCTCTTCTTGGTTGGGTGTTCATTGTTATTTTCCTGAGAAGATGGGTCATCCATTGCAAACACAGGCTTTTTCCTTTGGAACTTCATAAAGCAAGATCTTGACTACCTGTCGATCAAATTTGGCTGGATACTTCTCAGTAAAAGTGGACAATGACATACGCTTTCCCTCATGTTTAATGCTTCCTGCAATTTGTCGATGTTCGTGATCGGGATTGCACAGCTTTCCATGGATGGCTCGGGCCAACGGATCTGACGTTGTTGCTACGTTCAAACGCTTTCGGATGGGCATGGCTGATTCTGGATTGGTCAAGTTGCCCATGCGGCAGAGGTCAAAGCGGCAAAGCCTTGTGTGTTCACCAATTTCACTTAGTGGTTGGAGCTGCAACATCTTGGAACCATCCGGCTGTTCTAAGTGAAAATGCAGTGATCTCTGCACCTGAAATCGATACAGAACAATGGCTAAGCTGATCTGCCAGAGGCTTGCAAGACGTTTCTGAAGAATGTCATGCAACCCATGGAGTGATTCATTCCGCCACATAAGACCTATAGGCGGTTTCCACACAGAACCGTGTCCACACACCCAGGGTCCACATTCAGGGCTGTACCACAGATTCTTGGGATTCTGGGTGGTCAACACTTGAAACATTCTTCGGCGTCCTGCAGCTGTTTGGAGGTCACCTTCTGCCAATCCGAATCTTTTGGAGCGACCACCAATGGACGACATTTGCTTTGTGAGTTCACTGTCACTGGAACACATGACTTCAAACAAATCAAGTTGAGGAAGTCGAAACTTGTTCTTCTGATTTTGTTGAATCACTTGGTCAAGTTCAGATTGAAATTGTTTTACCATACGTTGGATTCGTCGGTGATAACTGTTGTTGGAAACATCATGTGTGAAGTCAAAGTTTGTGTCCAGGGTCATGTTCAAATGCACCTCTTCTGCAAACATACCATGCCGGATCAGATCAGCCTCAGTTGCACTCAGAACTCTCAGTTCTCGGATTTCACCTGCATCTTCTTCATGTGCTCCAGCATCTCGTGCATCATCATCTCGACTTGTCCCATTCGATTGGACAGATGCTGGTTGCTCTGTCGTAGATCTTGCATCTCCTCCTGAATGAAGGGCAGGTGCATCAGGTCGGCTGGATCTGAGCCGTCCGTGGGCATGACATCTTCCCAAACCTCCTGTGGAACGGGAGGCATGCTCTTGTTCTCTTTCGGCTTGGGGCTCTGGTTGCTGGTTTTGGTCTTCACCTGGACATCCTTCAGGCGCAGACGGACATACTGCACAAACATCATGTGCTCTGGTTTGTCGCTCATCTCGAACCTGTTCAAAATGAACTCGGTCCATTGTGCGTCCTCGAACGCCTGAGCATAGGTCATACCCTTCTTTGACTCTCCGAAGGTGATCTTCTCGCTGGCTAACTCTTCCAGAGTCATGGCACTCACGACCTCTCGAGAGATCTGCTTCTTCTGCGACTTGTTGTACTCCTTGAGCTGCAAAGCCAGGGACGTCATGTTCCCCCGGTGTTGAGTCACGTTCTGCGTTGATCTTTGGACCACACACTGCTGAGTCAGTCGGACATGATGGTGACGGGCTCACCGGCAAGTGGGTTCTCAAAACTGTTTCATGGCAACTGACTGAACTTTCAAGCGGAGATGATTGGTCTGTCAAGTTGAGCTCACTACCCCTAAGGCTTCCCTGCGGCTGTTTGACTGTCATTTTGGCACCACGGTCAATTTCAGTCTGAGCCATGCAAGAGGTCTCACCTGATTCACCAGAAAAACTATCATTCCAAAGTTGATTCAAATTCATTAAGAACAGATTCTTTTGAGATCTTTCAAGAGTGAGAAACTTTCGTAAGGCCTTACTCCACATGGTTCCCTCTTCAGTGTCAATCACAGCTTGAATCTGTTTCAAAAACGCACTTGACAGTAAAAAAGGTGTTGGACCTGGAACAACTGCAATTCGGAACCATCCCTTTTGGATCGGGAGCACAAGTGCATGTTGGCTCGTCAGCGTCTGATGATTACCAAATCGAAACACTAAGTGGCATGGTGCACGGTGTGCTTGCTTTCGGATCTGTTCGGGAAGACCCTGCAAAAGTTCTGTCACCTGATGGCTTCCAATCACTGTCTGTGAAGCACCTAAATCAACAATGCCATGGGTACCTGATGACGCAAAGTATATGTCATGTGAAATCACACTGGATGCCGGGTGATCTTTCGGATCATGCATGTGAGACGTCGAGGGACACTTTACATCATGGGACTTTGGCTGCGCAGCATCACGGTGGTTGGCACGAATGCTCAGTTCATTCCTGAGGGCCATTCGGATGCGTGACATAACATGTGATTTAAATCCCCATTTCTTACCCTTATCATTATTCCAATTATTCCCAAGTTTATTTCCCGTGATTACCCCAAAACATGCGGCTGCACAATCTGGCAAAGGCTCGGGAAATCTCATCTCAGGCAAATGGGAGATCTCGGGCGGGATCTCTGTTGGCACATCGTCGACGACCGCCATGGAAATCGGAACTGTTGATCCATCACTTGGAGGGCCAGTGGACGAGGCTGATTGACGAAGGCTACATTCGGCCTTCCAATGACCCTTTTTCCCGCACAGTCTGCACGTAGAATTAGCTATCCTCTGTGCTAGTGACTTTCCTTTTCCGCCTCCTTTTCCAAAACCTTTCTTGCCCCCACTTTTCCCTCCTTTTCTCACGGGCCAAAATCCTCTGAATTTGGCACGTTCTGTCAGGCGGCGACGTGCCTCCTGATATGAGGAAAAATAGGCAGCTAGGTCTGCATCACTCTGCACTGCTTCTGTCACTGCGTCCTCAAACTGTACCACCATAGCAGCATCTTCATCATTGTCATCGGCTAACTGTGCTAAGGTTTCATCATCCAGTGGATCATCAACAGTCCAATACGTGTCATGTTCTTCATCCTCTTCTACTTCATCAACATTGAAGGCCAAATGGTCATAGGTTTTCATGTTCTTTTCTCGTTTGGCACCCGTGTAGTCTTGAAAGAAAGATGAACCTAACATGCGTATGGCTGCTACGACCTTCTTCCATTCCAGTTTCTGTCCAATTTGTTCAGCTCCGGACTCCACCAACACGCGCTTTTTGTCTTCAGCTGAAAGGCGGCTGCCACGAAGCAAAACATACGATCGAATCTGATCCATGTCAACGTCCTTGGTCAAAAGCTCAGTCCAAACCACATCAACACGGGCGATGAAACTGTCACCTGTCTCGTCAGGCTTCTGCTGACATCGATACAAGGCCTTTTCCACCAACTCAAAACGATGCTCAAGGGGAATCTGTCCCCAGGTGCCCCCAACCAATTCCACCAGTTTCTGAACCCCTTTACGGTCATTCACCAAGAGGTCCTTTTGATGCAAATGAAGCTTCTGGTAGGCTGATCCCTTTGTGTTGAGGATCAGTCGGGTGATGAGCTCCAGGATTTTGGTCTGGGGCCATGCTTCAAGCAGTAGGTGAACCTTGCTGGACCAAATGTCCACATTGTCACTTGCAGGATCAAACGAAGGCACTAACAGCGCAAGCTGATTCGAGATGGTTCCACCCCCATCAGTTCCAGCCTGTCCTCCAGATGATTCAGTCATGAATTCTGTGGCGCCTGATCGCCAGGTAGCTCCGCTACCAATGTCAGATTGACACTGGTAGCTTGTTCACTTCCAATCCTAATCCCAGTTGGAACCCTGTCCAGCAATGCAAACTCCTGTTTTGCCCAATGCGAAGCCACAACCTGCAATCAGTCCAACGCACCCACAGCTGGCCACAGCTGTATCCGCTAAGCGTCACTGATAGCGCTATTGCTCAAGCTAATCCCTCCCTCCAGCCCAGAGGCTGCGGCAACAACTGGTTTCTGGAAGAACCCCCTGGTTCCATGAGGGAATGACCTCAAGCACATGTGAACTGGCCTGGCTTTCACAATATATATTATATATTTATATATTATATATTATATATATTATATTATATATATATATATTATATATTGAAATATTATATATATATATATATTATATATAAATATTCAATATTTATATATTATATATTATATATATAATCTGATTTTTTTGATGCATATATACGTATATATATATATACATAGGCATACAATGTATATATATATATCGTTAGATAATATATGTGTATTCATATGTATCTATATAATGATATATAGATAGAAAAATCTTGATATATACAAATTCAAAGCTATAAATGGATAGCTACAAAGATATATATATATGTATACGTCAATTTTGTTGGTTTAACAACCTGTCACCCTTAATTTCTTCGACGGGAACACCCCCAGTCAACAACGTTTTGATGGCAATGACACAGGTGTAGAGAGCATCGAACAAGAATGGTTGATACAGATCAAGGGCCAGGCTGGGGTCCACAAACCCAGCATCTGTAATCGGAGGTATCGTGGCTTCGTCTAGTGGTATTCGGAAGCTGTCCCTCTAAACGTTGCGGCCCGGTTGGGCACCAAATATACCAGGGCACTTCTCCACGCCAGGGCCCAGCAGGGCAATAATTCCCGGGGCCGAAAAAAAAAAACAGTGGAGGCCACCATCAGGCCCATCAGCGGCCAAATCAAAAATATTCCGGGGCACAACTCCACGCCAGGGCCCATGGGGGCAAGAGCCCCCGGGCCAGAGAAAAGAACCATCCAAGGCAACACCTCCGCGCCAGGGCCCGAGGGTCCGAAGACCTGGGCCAGAACGAGAACCGGTCCAAAGGCAACCACATGCCAGGAGGCCAAACCTGTCAGAAGGCTCAACATGCCGGGCTGCCATGTGCAAGGATGCCATTAAACATGCCAGGAGGATAAACATGCCAGGTTCAAAGCTGGACAGCGGATTCCCTAAACATGCCAGGCACTAAGCTGGACAGCTCCACCCTAAACATGCCAGGAGAATAAACATGCCAGGTTCAAACCTGGACCGCTCGACCCTAAACATGCCAGGAGGTACTAAGCTGGACAACTCGACCCTAAACATGCCAGGAGGATAAACATGCCAGGAGGAGGATAAACATGCCAGAAGGTTAAACAACCGTGGGAAATGGATCCAAAACAGGTTAAGCGAGCATGTTTTTGCTGCTAAGTTTCTGCAGCAAACTTTTGACGCAAAATAAGACATACCGTTTCATGTAATCTGGGATCTGATTGGATTGCGCAGCATTCGCCGCATACTTTGTGAAATTGCGCAACCAAAACTCACCAAAGCGAGGGCTCGCAGAATCAACACTGTAGAAGCGGCCACCATCAAATGCCTATAGGGATATCATGGAAAACCATGAATACGCAGCTGTGAGAAAAAAAAGTTTTCACCATTCTAACCTCTTTGGTTGCCACTGCAATGGATTCGAACGTCATCTCTTCGGGGTCGCTCATCTTGGTCTCTAAGATTCTCCGAGCTTTCGTAGGGGGCTCTGTCGCGGCTTGGGACTTATCAGTGTCAGGAATGGACGCAGCTGCAGCAGGTGTTGGAAGTGGTGGATTTGACGCTTGTGGTGCATTTGATGCTTCCAACGCTGCAGGCGCAGCACTGGAAGACTGCACCCCCAGACACGTTTGGAATTCCATGACACCCACGCCCAGCTTGCTACGAGGGATGGCTTGATCAACGATCCAAACCGTGTCTTCATTCATTCCACCTGGCAAATCTCGCACCGTACCTGAACGCAAGACCATATTGATTATTACCGTCTCTACGGGCAATATTAAACACGCGCAACAAAAAGAAACCAGAGAAGCTCTTCACACGCGACTATACAATCGGAGACAAGGTACTGGGATCCACCAGAAAGCCTTGCACATCTGCAGCCTGGATATTCTGCTTGGGGACAAGCCAAAGCTTTTGCTTCATCAAAGCGCTGCTCACAGCAACTCGGCTTTGCTGCAGGATCTGCGCAGCGGTGATTCTGCCCTTGGGATTCAAAGACCGCAAAGCCAGATACAAACGAACGTTGTGCTCATCCACTTGCACTGCCGCATTGTGTTTCTGGAAATCCTCGTCTAGAGGGCACCAACTCAAAAATAGGGAGGTTGACCCTATAGGTGGGAGAGAAAGAAAGCCTCAAGCCGAAAAATCAAATAGCCAAGCCACGGTCAGGGCACGCAGGGCCTTGCTCCGCTCGTCTCCATCCGTGGAAACATTCTCCATGGCTGCCTGGACTTCACCTGCAGTGAACTTGGCCATGGCAACCAAGGTCTTCTAAAGGAGGGCTCGTGGCTTCTGCGGAACCGCTGAGAACAGGTGAGCCGGAAAAACAAGGGAGAAATGAGAGAAATCAGCGAATATGCACGCTGGTTTGTCTGGTGAAAATAAGACGCATCACCGAAACTTTGCGCTACGTTAATGAACGTTAATATACGTTAATCTAACGGTAATGGCCGGAAATCAGGTATAATCGGTATTATCTTGTCATTATCGTTCATTATCGTCTATTACCGTGTATTAACGTCTATTAACGTCTATTAACGTCTATTAACGTCCCGTAACGGTCAGTAACAGAGATTAATCATTTCCACATCAAAGTATTGCTGGAACAAACGGGACAAGCTATTTCTCCTCGCTTTTGCAAGTCTGCTTTGACGAATCTTTCTACAGCATTCCCGGCAGCCATTCCCGAATCAAAGCGTCTGCCTTCTGGCAGCCTGTGCCTGCACCAACTTTCTGTTTCAGATTTTTCATTTCACTGTCCAGCCAAATCTTTCTGCTTTTGTTTTTGCCGATAAATCCATTCATCTGCACTCGATGCAGCATCCATGCAGACAGCACCATCTGCGCTATTTGTGGATCTGAAGGGTCAGAATCAAAATCTCGAATTTGTATGGTTTTACTTTTGTTCTTGCTACCTAGCAAGTCAGAAGAGCACCATTTTTCAGACAAACGCGCCCGCAAAGAAACAGCCGCATGAGCAGCGCAAGAATCCGCATAGTTACTGATGGAAAAGTAAGGGTTGTTCATGATCACAAAGGTGCCTGGAGCTGCTTTTTCAATTGCCGCCTGTGGCGGCTGCTCTTCTTGGGGAGGCTGCGCGTCTTCAGAAGAGGACGCAGATGAGGTTTCCACATCAGTTTCAATCCCTGCCTCTGCACAAGAACTTCCACCAACCCATTCATCGGAACTCTCCGAATCAACATCATACAGATTTGCCTCAAAAGCTGCCTCAACAGAATCGCTTTCGCTGCTGTCGTGCTTAGATTCTTTCCGGATCGCTTTCTCCAGATTGACAGGGGTCGCTTCAGACACGTATAAACAAATTTCCCCCCCTTGAATTGTGACAACCTCCATGTTCAAGCTGTAAATAGGCACCGGACCCTTGTGCACATCAAAGCCCAGGTTCCCAAGCAGCTTTTCCATGGGCTGCATTTGCTCATGCAGGGGAGAAATGAAATCGAATGAAAATGTTCGACCGTGGTCCTGCGCCAGCGCTAGGCCCCATACTTTTCGTCCAATACTGGCTGTAAAACAAACTACCCGCTCAGCCAGAGTGGGTCCAAATTCCAAACAATAGAACCCAGGCGCGCAGGAACGTAACGGAGCGAGGCAAATTGGAAGAATGTTTCCTTCCTCTGGTTGCAATCGTGGTGCAGCAGGCATCTGCGAATTTGGCACAAACAATCTTTGGGATAAGATTCGGCGAGACTCTGTGGAAGTTCGCAAAAAATCATGAAACTGGTCAGTATGTGAATCAATCCATTGCAGCCACTCTCCGTTGGTTTGAGGAATATGTTCACCGCTGCCTCCCGCGAGCACAGCTCTCGCATCGTTCCTTCTTTGCTTCGCCTCCAATCTCAAGCTCTCTTTGTTCTCTTCAATAAATGCATCTAAAGCTGCCTTGTCACCCTCGTGTATGATGACTTTCCTTTGCGCCTGGGTCATACCTTCTTGCCAATGTAACTGTCCAGCTGCGCGTGGGAAAAGGTGTGGATTCTTTTCAATGGCCAAGGCCCGCAAATTCATATATTTTTGCTTTGTAAAATATTTCATGTCCCGTATTTTCCGAAATATAATATTGGAACGTTGTTGCCTGTATCTGCGCAGAATAGAATTCCGGCTGCTTCTGTTCAAAGAACGTATTTTGGAATGCGCTCTCTCAGGAGCCTTGTCGAGAAAGTGTTTCCGTTCAATGTCTAATGTGGTGAGAAGAGACCGACGAATGATGATATCAAGTTCTTGTTGAACGTCGTCTCCCAACAGAAATTGCACGGCCTGGGCAACATTTCCTTTGTCCAGAGCCTCCTGCTGCAAGGCGAAAGAAAAACTGTCATCAAGATGCCCCCTGGGTTCCTCCAGGAATTCCAGCACGCATGCTCGATAAGTCACAGGATTGTACACTTTCGACAAGGTCCAAATTTTGTACGGATATGATTCGTACAAAGAAAACCGCATGACCAGGTGGCATGCGGTTGTCAGCAGAGAAGCAACTGTTTGCGACAAGTGTATCGCTGGATCTAAGGACAAAAGTGGGAAAATCTCTCGTAAGTCCGCAGAATTTTTTTCCTTCACTTCACCTTGTCCCATTCGCACCAAAGGCGGCACAGAATCTGTAGACGTAGGCTTCTGAGCTGTGATTGCGACAGCATGCATAGTCAAGCGCAGACACAAGGCAGCTCGTCGGACATCAGCACCTGTTTCTTGCAAAGTGAAATATGTCAAAATTTGTTGCATTCGTTTGCCGTTCTGCTTTTGTGGGCACACCTCCCGGAGTTTCATCCAAACAGAAGGAGGCAAATTCAAGAGCAACATTCGGAGAATGGTATTCACACAAGCAGAGAAAAGAAAAAACCGAGTTGGAGTGGGCTTGTCGTGCACCGGGAGAAGCTGTTTGGCCAACTCTGCTGCGACCAGTGCACAACATTCGTCGCGGCTTGCTTGACCCCCCCTAAGATGTGCCAGTTTGGAAACGCACACATTCAACACCTGAATCAATGATGGAGGTAAAACATCTTGCCCATAAAGTTGTAAATACGCTGCAGTGCGACTGTCCGATGGAATCTGGTCTCTGTCAGAAAAGACAACTAAATTGCTGAGAATATATTGTCGCAAGGAATACACAAATTCAGCGTGATAAGAGTCTAGAACGTATTTGAAGAGACGAATGCAGGTACCCACAAGCATGTTATTCTTACTTGGATTTCGAACCAAAGTTTTACAAATGGCCACCTGTACACACAGGTTTGCTTGATGCGAGGCACACTTTAGGCAAAGCACCTTATAGCGTAGCACATCCGGCTTGAAGGTGGAGTAAGCACGCCACATTCTCTTCACAGCGGATTCATTGGTCGGCGCGCCATCTCCAACCACAATATGCACAACACGTAATCTTCTCTGCGATGATTCTTTCAAGAAACCTTCTAACAATGCTTCGCAGGCGGACTGCGAAGTATCTAACAGTGACTTAGCAATGCTAGCAGCATTTTTTCTTTCCAACGCTACCAATTCACACAAGACATCGATCATCACGTCTCCGGGACCAAAAACTTGCAAAATTTGGTTCTGCACGGCAGAAGATCGAGATCTGGAATTGGACAACGTCAAGAAGTCAGAGAAGCTCTTCACACGCATGCAGGCTTCGTCATGCAAATGCAAGAAAATAATTGCTTTGGATTGGTCTGACAAAGTTCCATCACCTAGGGGCATTGCGTGGCCGACATTTACCAAAGATTGTTTGTTCATGTGCTTCAATATCTCTGCGAAACAATCTCTCGAGCGACTCACTGAATTTCTTGAAAGTGTTACATCAGGCCTTTCCTGAACAGGAAACTCAGCAGCAAACGATGACAAACTCTGAGCTGGTATGGAAGGATCTGCCAACCCTGTTCTCAACCACCACAGGCTCTCGATGCGTAGACCCTGCTTTGGCGCCAATTGGCGCTTCAACTCAGTTTCTGCTTCCGCCCTCCTTCTTTTCTGATACCGAACTTGGTTCTCTAGACGCTGGATCTTGCTCGAACTGGCAGCCGACCGAAATGCTGCCAAATCAAAATACTGATCCAAATCTGTCAAGAAGCGCCTTAAAATTGGAACAAATTCGGGCACCGAACCTTCGCACTCCGCCGCAAAATCAGAAGCAGCATCAAACAAACGACGCGCTGATTGCTGAGTCATGTGCTGAAAAATGATTTGGTGAGGAAAGAGGAATAGTAAAGGTCAGCCGTGTCTACCCTTCAGTGTCTGTGATTTAAAGCCTGTCAACTCCATATACTCCTTGATCCTCATGGTTTTGAATAAAAATCTGGAATATAAGGACATGCTGCTTCATTATTTATTCTCTTTCAGAATTTCAACTATGACGCCTGAATCTTATCCGGGCAATGAATGCAGAACCTGCTGACGAGATACAGCAATAGCAGATCAAACGCACAAACTCTGCCAATGTTAAACATAATGCTGCAGATAATCGATATCAAAAATTATCAAATCGATAAAGCTACTGCGTTCACATCTTGGTTCCCTAGCAAGAAAATCGTTCGAAACATACCATTACTTTCATCCAAGGGAAACCCTTCGAAAACAATCGTTTAACATATATGTGTATCCCGAACAATTCTTTTTGATTCATTGAAATCCAACGATATCCGATCCACAAATCTGAACGGGGTTCGAACAACATAACAGAAATACAAAGAAATATGTTAAACAAGGCTTCCAAAAGATGCAACTGAAACAAAGACTAAGAGTCGTTCAAGGGACCGTCGTCGCAGAAGCGTCGAGGCTCCGGGCAAGGCCGTGCTGAGGCCTGCATCGGCAGAAGCGGCGACGACAGCTGGCGGCGCTGAAAAGCGGCCAGAGGCTATGGCCTCAGAGCCGGCGCCTCCGGGCAAGTCGGCGCCAGTCGTCGAGCCTGATGACGACGACGAGGAATCCGCCGAGGAAGAAGCACCTCGGGCTGAAGACGCTGAGGTCGAGGACGGACCACGGTCCACAGTGCCAAAAGCAGTGACAGTCGACTCAGACGCCGAAAATGAGTGCACTGCCTCTACTGCTAAGGCAGCGACGACTGAGGGCCCTGCTGGTTTGAAAAAAAACAGTCAGGGATCAGAAAGACCTCCAGAGCCTGCCAATGGCCCACGCTCCGGACCTGGCGACCCTAAGACTGGGTCGTACAAGTGCACCGTCTGCGGACGCAATGTGGGCGGGGGCCTGCAGGGAAATTTTTCCCATCGCCGGTCTCCGTTCCACTTGGCATCGTGGATTTATTATTCCACAAGTGAAAAAAAAAGCTTGGGGTCAGTGCATGGCCGACGCTAAGCGTTGGAGCCAGATGCTCTGGGAAGAGAACAAAACAGGGCCAGGAGACGATGAAACGAACGTGAAGATCCCTGAGCCTGTGGGTCAGCAGAAAGGCAAGGGCAAGAAACCCAGGTCACCGCCACCTGACCGAGCCGACCCTGAGCGAAAGCGGCGCAAAGACGACAGGGACGATCCTGACCCCGGGTCAGGAGGAGCTGACTCATCCAGGCCCAGCAGTAAAAAGGACCTGTTGGTCGAGATGTGGCAAGCCACACTGCGCGAGCTTCGCTGACTTTTAAGTCAAGAGTCGGCATTGATACGTCAGTGGCATTGACAAGTCAGTGGCAAGAGTCCGCACTGACACGGGGTCAAGCAGCCCGGGCGCTTTAGAAATTAGGCTTAGCTTAGTCTCGTCGACGGAGTAAGCTAGTTTTGACCTAAACCTGAGACAGCAGAAAAAAATGCTTGGCTGGCAGCGCGCTGGAAATGGCAGGGTTAAGTTTAAGTTGATAATAATATAAGTCAAGGGGTGGGGTTCAATGCCTATGGATCAAAGATGATAACCATATTAATTAATTTAATAATAATAAATAATAATATCCCATTTGCAATCATTCATGTCTTGGGATTGCTCTGGAGTCTGTCATAATAAGCCACCACACATAGATCTCCTGGTTTCCTTGGTCTGGCAACTCACCAAGCAACTGGACATCTCTTATAGGTTCCAGCCTGGCAACTGTAAAAGACTGTCAGAACCACCCAAGAGCTACCAAGCAACAGCTAAACAACACCAAGTATAACTTGCTCACGTTGTTGATGCTACGCCACGCTGGGGTGGGGGGGATGTTAACGTTCCATATAACTTGCTCACGTTGTTGATGCTACGCCACGCTGGGGGGGGGGGGATGTTAACGTTCCATATAACTTGCTCACGTTGTTGATGCTACGCCACGCTGGGGTGGGGGGGGATGTTAACGTTCCATATAACTTGCTCACGTTGTTGATACTACGTGGGGGGGGATGTTAACGTTCCATATAACTTGCTCACGTTGTTGATGCTACGCCACGCTGGGGTGGGGGGGATGTTAACGTTCCATAGAACTTGCTCACGTTGTTGATGCTACGCCACGCTGGGGTGGGGGGGATGTTAAACGTTCCATGTAACTTGCTCACGTTGTTGATGCTACGCCACGCTGGGGTGGGGGGGGATGTTAACGTTCCATGTAACTTGCTCACGTTGTTGATGCTACGCCACGCTGGGGTGGGGGGGGATGTTAACGTTCCATGTAACTTGCTCACGTTGTTGATGCTACGCCACGCTGGGGTGGGGGGGATGTTAACGTTCCATGTAACTTGCTCACGTTGTTGATGCTACGCCACGCTGGGGTGGGGGGGGATGTTAACGTTCCATGTAACTTGCTCACGTTGTTGATGCTACGCCACGCTGGGGTGGGGGGGATGTTAACGTTCCATGTAACTTGCTCACGTTGTTGATGCTACGCCACGCTGGGGTGGGGGGGATGTTAACGTTCCATGTAACTTGCTCACGTTGTTGATGCTACGCCACGCTGGGGTGGGGGGGATGTTAACGTTCCATATAACTTGCTCACGTTGTTGATGCTACGCCACGCTGGGGTGGGGGGGATGTTAACGTTCCATATAACTTGCTCACGTTGTTGATGCTACGCCACGCTGGGGTGGGGGGGGATGTTAACGTTCCATAGAACTTGCTCACGTTGTTGGTGCTACGCCACGCTGGGGTGGGGGGGATGTTAACGTTCCATATAACTTGCTCACGTTGTTGATGCTACGCCATGTTATGCCTTTGTTTTCTATTTTTTTGGTTTTTTCTTTAAAGTTTTTTCGTTTTGCATGCGTATATGTCGCTGCAGGTGCGGCGCTCAGAATGCTGTGGAACTGGGCGGCAAAGTTATGGGTTGTCTGTGGCGCAACATGTGCTTGAAAGTGAATGTAATCTTGAAACAGGTGACCATGTTGGTTGGTCGTCAGGATATGTTTTGCTAACATATATATGTAGAGATGCATATAAGCAGATAGCTGTGCTTATACATTATATATATATATATATATATATCCGCCGACCCCGGCAGACGCAAGGGGGAGCGCGCCAGGGAATAAGACATTTGGCTGCCTTTGCAGCATTAGCAGCACTAGGTAGCAGCATCAACAGCAGCCGAGCACTGCAGCAGCACCACAGCAGCAGCAGGAGCAGCAACAGCAACATCAGCATGGAGCAGCAGGCAGCAGGCACTACCACTACTATTCTATAGGGTAGAGAAGACAAAAGTAGCTCAAATCATCATTTTCTATGGATTTCAGAAGCGACGTTAGAGACTTTTTTGTGGGTGAGTAACACCTCTTCAGCAGCAGAAGACAAAAGTAGCTAAAATCATCATCATCATGTTCTATGGGTTTCAGAAGCGACGTTAGACACTTTTTTGGTGCGATTCTCGGCCTAGTTCGTCCTGCAGGGCCATGGTGTTTCCCCGTCCGGGAGGGTGGTGCCTTTGTGGGTGAGCAGCACCTCTTTAGCAGCAGAAGACAAAAGTAGCTAAAATCATCATCATCATTTTCTATGGGTTTCAGAAGCGACGAGCACCTCTTTAGCAGCAGAAGACAAAAGTAGCGAAAATCATCATCATCAAATCATTTTCTATGGGTTTCAGACGCGACGTTAGAGAGTTTTTTGGTGCGCTTCTCGGACTAGTTCGTCCTGCCGGGCCCTGGTGCTTCCCCGTCCGGGAGGGTGGTGTCTTTGTGGGCACAGCAGCACCTCTTCAGCAGCAGACGACAAAAGTAGCTCAAATTATCCTTTTATTATCCTTTTCTATGGGTTTCAGAAGCGACGTTAGAGAGTTTTTTGGTGCGATTCTCGGACTAGTTCGTCCTTCAGGGCCATGGTGTTGCCCCGTCCGGGAGGGTGGTGTCTTTGTGGGTGAGCAGCACCTCTTCAGCAGCAGAAGACAAAAGTAGTTAAAATCATCATTTTCTATGGGTTTCAGAAGCGACGTTAGAGACTTTGTCGTGGGTGAGCAGCACCTCTTCAGCAGCAGAAGACAAAAGTAGCTCCAATCATCATTTTCTACGGGTTTCAGAAGCGACGTTAGAGACTTTTTTGGTGCGATTCTCGGAATAGTTCGTCCTTCAGGGCCCTGGTGTTTCCCTGTCCGGGAGGGTGGTGTCTTTGTGGGCACAGCAGCACGTCTTCAGCAGCAGACGACAAAAGTAGCTCAAATTATCCTTTTATATCCTTTTTTATGGGTTTCAGAAGCGACGTTAGAGAGTTTTTTGGTGCGATTCTCGGACTAGTTCGTCCTTCAGGGCCATGGTGTTTCCCCGTCCGGGAGGGTGGTGTCTTTGTGGGTGAGCAGCACCTCTTCAGCAGCAGAAGACAAAAGTAACTAAATCATCATTTTCTATGGGTTTCAGAAGCGACGTTAGAGACTTTGTCGTGGGTGAGCAGCACCTCTTCAGCAGCAGAAGACAAAAGTAGCTAAAATCCTCATGTTCTATGGGTTTCAGAAGCGACGTTAGAGACTTTGTCGTGGGTGAGCAGCACCTCTTCAGCAGCAGAAGACAAAAGTAGCTAAAATCCTCATGTTCTATGGGTTTCAGAAGCGACGTTAGGACTCCTTATCAGAATCTGCCCTCTGCACATCCCAGGCTGCCATTGCCACAGGGTGTTCAAAATTCAGGGAATCCTACAGGCTATCGTTAAAATGGCTTTGGTGTGCCATGGATACAGTCCACGCAATGTGAATCATGGAAAAAAGAATGGTTTATACACAACAGGGGGATAACCCACCTTCACGCAATAGTGTCAGAGAGTTTTTTGGTGCGATTCTCGGACTAGT